GTATTTGAATCCAGCCATGGCAGTTTTTATTTGCTCTACCTTGACTGAATCCATAACGATATCAGTTAACCTTTCATTAGATGTGTTCCACAATTCACTAACTTCTAATTTTGTTGCCACATCAAAACCATATTCTTCTGTTTTGTTCTCGACAATGATATTATCTTCATCATCTCCCGATTCCTAAATTTTAAAAATTTCTATTTTTTTACCATAAAAAATATAATAAAGGTAAAAACTTGTCAAAATACCTGCAACTCATTATTATCTATGATATTGCCTTCTTGAGCATCTTGAGGCAGAGCGCTGTATAATCCCGTCACATTTTCATCTTCCTCACTATCCGAACTACTTCCAAAAGCATTTATAACAATTTCATTAAAATGTTCTAAGTTTTCTTGTGATTGATTTAAATGATCAGGAGATAAGTTTCCTTGCACAACCATATTTCCACTCAGTAATTGATAGTATTTAAAATATATAAAAATAAATAAATATCGTGGCAAGAGAAACCGTTAGCCGTAATACGAAATCGTGGTTCTAGTTGGCAACCATTTTAATTTTGTTGATGTGTTAACCACTCAGGTGGGTGATATTATTAAATTTTATCGATGTTAATCTTTACAATCTTAATTATATTTGTCTTAAAAAGTTATTTATAGTAATAGTACATCATAAGAATTTATAATTCGGCAATTACAATAAGTCTTCAACTTTCGGTATTTCCTTAATTAATTTATTAAGTTAGTTGGCGTACTAATTTTTACTTACAGAATGCGGCAGATTGTCTCAAACCAGACGGTTAAAATACCGAAAGATGTTACTATATCAGCCAAGTCCAGAAAAATTACTGTAAAAGGACCTAGAGGTGTTCTAACGAGGTCTTTCAAGCATTTATCTTTGGACATTTATATGGTTAACAAAAGCCTAATTAAAGTTGAAAAATGGTTTGGGACGAAGAAAGAATTAGCCTCAGTTCGTACTGTCTGCTCGCATATTGAAAATATGATTAAAGGAGTTACAAAAGTATGTTAATCAATTATATTTTTCCGTTAAATTTTCTTTTCTCTTCATGTGTCTAGCATATATTATGTCTAGTGTTATAGTAATTATATGTCATTCATATTACTCTTATTCCTTTTAGGGTTTTCAATATAAAATGAGAGCTGTTTATGCCCATTTTCCCATTAATTGTGTGACTACTGAAAATAACAGAGTTTTGGAAATAAGAAACTTTTTGGGTGAAAAGTTTATTAGAAAAGTTAAAATGTCTAAGGGTGTTACTGTTATCAATTCTCCCAAGATGAAGGATGAACTGATTATAGAAGGAAATTCTTTAGAAGATGTTTCTAGATCAGGTAAAATCTTTTTGATTTTTCATATCGAACGAATAATCATTTAATAAGTTAAACACTGATCTGTATATTTAATTTTTGATTTTAATTTTTTATTTAATTATTATGAATATGAATTGTAACGTTGAAATTTTATTTTGATTAAACGAATGTTAAATTATTTATTTTCAGCTGCTCTTATTCAACAGTCGACCACTGTCAAAAATAAGGATATCAGAAAGTTTTTAGATGGTCTTTATGTATCTGAAAAAACTACAGTGGTTCAAGAAGAATAAGTGATTGTACAAGAATTAAATAAAAATTTTTAAAAAAAAAAAAAAAAAAAGCTTATCATTGATGTTTTAATTTTTTTTTTCACACACCCTCTGCCGAAGTAATATAATGTTCAGGTGCAAAAATTTTTATTATTTAAATTTTATAATTTTTTTTGACAAATTTATTTTTTTTTACCGTCATAATTTAATTGCAGGAAAGAAATACCTAATATTTACTTAGGTATTTCTTTAAAAATGTGAAATGATTTTTAAAAAAAAAAATAACTTTCATGTTATAATAAATATTATATTATGGCCACGATTGAATTATCAAGCAATTGTTATAATTGTTATATAAATTTTTATTTAGTGATTAAAATATTATTATTATTTTAAAATTAGGAAAATCAGGTTTTTTGATTTTCAAATGTTTCATTTGTATTGGTTAATGGGTTATGCATAATCGTAAACGTTGAAGACTTCAACATCAGATGGAATTATAATAAAGCCATCTTTTAAAGCATTTTCATACATTATTTGATTGATATTAATGTCACTACTTAAATCCACACTGTTATCTCT